ATCAGCCAGATGGCTTCTTTAACTACTAATCATGTCCAATATATTGTTTGAAATTAAAACATGACTGCATCTTATCAACTGCTTGAAGCTACATGTACCACTAGATGCACAAAACTGCATTTTGTCAAAAGCCTACTGGAGAATTTGAGCTGCTTCAAGATAAATCCAAGTGAATAGCTAAAAATGTATGCTGCACAGTATGAACGTGTATCTAATGCTCACATCTGAAAAACACTCCTTCAAATAGTTCAGCAGTTTAAAGAGTATGGTACAAAGAACATCCAGATGTTTTTGTGCCACAGTTATCTCTACACCTGTGTCTGTGACAGTGGAACAGCAGGCTCACTGGTCCAAAAAGGGGAAGAGGGAAAGGAAAAAAATAAAACAGCAACAACAAACAGATGGAGGAACATTAATTTACCAATTATAACAGCAGAAACACAAATTAATTAGGCTTGGAGCTAATAAGTGAAATAAAAATGAGATACTTTCTGAAAACTTCTGAAAGTTCTTACTCTGATCTATCAGGGAGCAAAAAGAGAAATGGAAACAGAAGAGCAAAGTTTTCTGGGAGCTGTAGTACATTTCTTCTGAGACTCCCAGTGCACTAAATGATGTGATGATGTGGAATAGCGATATCAAAAATGACAAAACCACAACAGTCAAGAAACAGACTTGCTTGAGTACATCAGTGGTGACAAGATTCATATTTCTGACGAAAATATGAGGTGTTACTAACTCTTAACTTACATAACACATGAAATTGGGAAACTTAATATTCATAAATTAGTTTCCTACTAGAAATTGAAATGTTAAAACTGTCACTGAACTTCACAAACACACCACAGACTTAATTCCTGGATAAACTAGCTCTTGGAAAAATACAAAGGCAGATTTTATACGTGTGTATATATACACACACATATAAATACAGATTAGTATTACCATGGCTAACTCTTTTCTTTCTGAGTTATCCCAACCATTAAAATTTTCTTACAAAAAGCTCTATGACATGAAATTGAAATCTTACCGTAACAATAATTCCCAATAAAAGGCCTTGGATGTGACAGCTCTGGTACATGCAAGTTGGAATTATTATGAAGAAGCCGATCTTATGCAGAGTTGATGACCTGGAACTCAGACACTGAGAAAAACATTTACTGTGTACTGAATGTGTGCAAAACAGCACTGGGAATAAAATGAACTATGAATTATTTTTTTTTAAATAATGTAATAGTGACAGTCAGCTGAAGCACTATTTATCTGGCTCTTACTAAGATACCCTACCAGAGATTTTAAAAAGATTTGGATGTCAAAACATCACTTTGGTGTTTTGTCTTTTTTTTTTTTTTAGTGTAACTAATTAGATTTCCATGTAGCAATTGTGTCTTGAAATTTTTTAATTGAATTAATCAGCAAACTGTCCTGTGAGTACAAGAATTAACTAAGACTATGTTGTTGTTTTTTTTTTTTTTAATTACAGCTTTGTTTGTTAGGTGGAAATTGATTAAATATACACCACAACTTTTAAAACTATCCTCTACAGGAATAGGAAGCAGCCAAATCCAGCAGCTTGTCTTCAAGTGACATGGAAGCATCTGACATTGTGAATTGCCAAATGCATCATTTCTCAATAAAATAAAGAGCACGAGAATAGAATCTGAATAATGTGAGTTAGAAGAGACAGTTAAAGGTCATCTAGTCCAACTCCCCTGCAATTAAGAGGGACATCTACAGGCAACCCCCGCTCTGCCAATAAATGCTCCTTCTAATAAGGTGACATAAGGCTTCAACAAATTCAACAAAAAGTCTGATGTCTAAGTATATAATTCTAGAAACTCTGAGGAAAAAATGAACAGATCACAGAAGCATTTACAGAACAGCTGAAAAGGCCAAATAAGATGTAAGCATGCTGTGCTTCAAGTGTTTTTTTTATTTTCATCTTGATAAAGTAGTATATTTCAACCAAATTACAACAAAATTACCACAGAATATTAAAAAATGCAAGAAAATACTTAGAAAACTATATATATAGACATTTTCTTAAAAATCTCTAATGTAAACATTAGCATAACAAGTTAAAATAGTATTACAGTTTATTAATACTTAGGTGAGTGCTGTACACATATATGCTTTAGAATTAATACAATCCTTTTTACAGTTTAACAGGAACACTGAGATTTCTCCTCCAATTCAGAAGGGAAGTCAAGCTTCTTCACTTTCCTGCAGTTTGGTCCCATACACAAGATATTTATCTCAGTTTTCAGGAAAAATGAAAATGCAGCCTTTCAGAATTTTTACGTTCAATCAAATTTGCATTCCTGTAATTTTTAGTGTCCTAAATTGTTGACACTGCTGAAGAGAACAATTGCTACAGTAACTTCTGTAATGACAACAGACATCAGCTTCAAAATCTTGTTAAGTAAACTGATTCCTCCTACGTGGCAGTGCAATATATTTGTTTAGATGGAGCAAATATATATATACATATTTTAAAGTCCCGATATTTGCAGCAATTTGTAAATTTGGAAAATTCATTCCTCTCTAAACAATTCAGTGGTGTTTTCTAGTATAAATTCATGCAATTATTAAGCAAAAGCTTGCCATTATCATTAATTAGAAGTATCTTCTTACTTTTGAAAAGAGATTTTATAAACAACTGATGTTATCTATAATTGGACAATAAAAGTACAGTTAGTACAGAGTAAGATATCTGCAAGAAATAAATAAATGTACAACGTTGGAGCAAGTTTTTCATCTTCCATTCAATATGTGAAATAGAAAACAAGTTAGCTGATATTTGTATAATTTGTGTGTGTAATTTCATACATTAAAATGATTCTTTCAATACATAATACTAAGAAACTAGTAAAAGGGCTAAATATTCCATCAAATTAATATTCAAGGTAGTAATACAACACGTTGACTGAAATACCCTAACATACAGAAAAGGAGAAAAAAACCTTTATTTCTTGAGTTTCTATTCTTATTAAGCAACTGCTCCACAGATTTCTCTTGGGAATTATAAGCAGATAACTGTATTTCTATCCACAGGTATAGATTATCTGCCCTCAGAATTACTAGATACTGGATGAAAAACGTTTTGACATCACAGATGTTGTGGAGTGTGATGGTTGTACCTTTGAAATGGCATGAAACTTACAGCAGAACTGTGATTTTTGTCCACTTTGAAACAAAGAGAATGACATCCATATCTGAAAGTATTAATAACTGATTCTGTTAACAAAACACCATCTTCTTAAATCACTAATATGTCCTGATGAACAGTATCATTAGTTCACTTGGAGCTCACTGAGTCTTACTTATTAGCTTGCTGCTGAGTCACTCAACTCCATTTGCTAGCAGGTTCTAATGAATTAATTTAACAGCTACCATGCTGATGTAGACACACCAATATACACACTGTTTTATAAAATAAAACAAGACATTTTCTAACAAAAATACACGTTAGCACAATTAGGTCACAATTTTGAGCCAATGGTCTTTAATACCGTTATGTCCTTTAAGTACTTGTAGTGATTCAGTCACGATGGCTTATAACTTCAAGCAGATTCTATAAGACAATACAATTTGATTTCAACTACCACATCAACAATATATTTCAACAAAAAGTAACTGGCTTTGAGATTATTAATTTTTTAACAATATGTGACTTAATGAATGTATCAATGTAATACTTTATAACTACGCCAATATGTTGCCTCATTTAAACCTTGGAATTTATTTTTATTATTGAAAAACTTGATTTAATGGAAAAAGCAAGGTCAGTATATTGCATTCTCTCTATAGAGTGACAGAATCTCTAAATAAATGAAATTCTGAAAAAACATGGTCAATATTTGGATTAATACTGATAGATGATTGCATTTGCTAAAGATCCAAGTCTTGTCCACCCTGATTTTCTTAGAAAACTGTTCCTTTTGTGTGCGACAGCAAAGCAGCATTAAAAAGTAATGCCATTTTATTTTGAATAGACTCTAAAGGTTGCAGATGAGCAGCCCTACTAACTTAATATATCTAAAGATAAAATGAGAACGAAATGAAAGTGATACTTCAAATTTCTAAATGCCACACTGTAGGCTAAAGCTTGAAGGAACAACTGCTGGGATCAGACTGGCCTGGGTCCTGCATTGTGTGTTCACAGAGACGTTCAGAGCAGGCAGAAAGACCTGGCTGAACCCATCAACTCGCTGTGCAGCAGCCACAGACAAGATCTAAGGACTTAAGAGCACTCAGCTATTAAAAAAATATGAGACTTGTAAAAAAACAATAACTATATGCTACAGAAATGACAATTACACACATGGAATTAGGTGACACAAGAGAAACTGGTACAATCACCCAGCTGATAGAATCTTTGCTGCAGTTGCAGCTATTTTACATGAACAATATATTGGAATCCTTAATGCCAGCAAGTCATCCTTTGTTAACTGTCATTCCTGATTTTGATGAATAAACAAAAAAAAATGGGATTTGTGACAGAGAGTTGTAATTTTATAAAAGACAGCATCTTCTGTTCTTCGTGTTCTGAGGTGCTAAAAATTTGAGCATGCATGTTCCCAGGCATCTTTTCACAGTCATGCAAGTATTGCCTTCCCGAAGTATCCAAGTGAGGTGGGAAATCTGACTTGTGAAGAAAGGCTTAATTCAATTATCTTGAGATCAGATAAGCCACAGGTGAGTATTTAAATGGATTCGTAATGCACCCACTACACTACCTTATATCACAAACACTATTTGCAGGCTGTAATCTTAGCAGCAGATAATTCAGGTGAAGTTAATAAAGAACAAACTGTACACAGTAAACAAGTTCAGAATTTTTTGTGTAATCTACATACATTAAAAATTCATAGAACTAGAAAAGAAATGAACTAGTTTTAAGAGTCAAATGTAGATCCAAGAAAAAAATTCCTCCTTAGCAACTAGAAAAGAAAATTAAATCTGGATTGTGCAAAATGAGTTTTCTTACCATTTGCAACTTTCGGAACAAGAAATCCTTTAATTTGTGAATTATTTCCTGAAAACAAAAACAGCTTCAAACGACAAACAGGTACATTACAAAGGATTTAAAAACATGCTTTCTTTCAGATTTGCTTGCAATTCATTGCTAATGTGGATGTGTGTCATATTTGTACTAACCAAGTCTCTGTTTTCAGAAAAGTGAATTCAGATTTGTTTCAGAGTGGGACCACCATTACAGCTGCTTTTCCTTCCAATGAAGGCAAAGCTTACCCTGCCAGCATTGCATCATACTGAAGAGTTTGGAGAGGTTTTGGCTGACTTGCTACTGGCTTTTCTTCCTTCTTCAGTAAATATTTCAGTTAGACAAGACACCAACAGTAATGCATCTTTTAATTAAAAAAAAAAAAAGGCTATTTTCCAAGCTGCACTTTCAGATTTTGTATTTTGATCCAGCGCACAGACACTACTTGCTGTTCTTAAAGCACTGATGTAAAGAGTCTGTTATTAATCATCAACATGACTTTTTTTTTCTTGCAGGATAACGTTAGATTTCAGTATCTACTGATGTGAGAATAAAATTAATAGATACTAAAATGACAAAATACACAAATTTAAATTAACATTATTAAAAAACAAAACTTCAGAGAATAAGGATGTTCTTACACAAAGGAAAACCAGAATACAACTGACACACAATTGACACACAATTGACTGCCTACAGCAGAGCAACTAATGGATACTGAACTGGATTCCAGTTAATCCTTGTTTGAACTTCCATCACTTGTAATAATTCTTGCTTTTTTTTTTTTTTTTTTTAGTTACTCTTACAGTATTACCATAGCAGAATACTGTTCAGTGTCAGATGATTGGTAACAGGCATAACAGGCACTTTCATTACAGGTAATTCTTAATTATCACCACGTGAAGTGTTCTACAAATGAAGAGTATTAATTCCAAACTCACAGTTAATATGAGGGAGTGCCCTGTAGCAACAGTAAGAAGCTAATAACAAAGTATAACCCAAGACTTGAAAACACCATTTTGTACCATGCTGATTTTGTGGTGGTTTGCAGGAATTAATAATATTGCACCCAGCCTTAAATCAAGACTGAAATTTCACTTAAAAAAAAATTATGATATCTGATTTTAAAGAATTACTTGCCACAAATGAAATCTATTGAAAATATCAAGCTAGAAACATAGAAAAGCTGTTTTTCCAACTGTACCATTTTTCCCTTGTCATCTACTTTGTCAAGTTTTTAAAAAACCCAATAATAATTTACAAAAAAAAACAACACAACAGTCTTCCCAGTCTTTCTATTTACAAGAGGTTATAAATTAGTGAGGTCATTTAAAGTACATTTTACTGACATAGTAAGTAGTGATAAACATAGCTGTTCTTTCAAGGAAAATTGTCGTGATATAATACTCATGTCTGAACCAGAAAAATGAACATGTGCAAAGGAAGACACAACAACACAAACAAGGAATTTGCTTGAACAGAACAAAGGAGAATATGTGCATTGAAGCTTCACAAAACAAAGGAAATGCTTACAAGTGTGGTGAGCCCTGGTGAAGAGCCCTCATTCTGAGAAAGTGATTACTGACTTCTAAAGAACTTCGTCAAGATACGACCCTTAGTAATGAATGTCTTTTTCAGGATTTAAGTTGATGCAGCTGTAGTCTCTTCAGGAGCTTAAATTATAAATACAAGCTAGGAAGGAATCACAGAGCAACTTAAAGTACATAGTGCCAATATTCAGAATTAGAAAAAGGGTCAAAGATCACCGCTTTGAGGTTCCAGACTTCGTGGCTCTCTTTGATGGCTGCGAGACAGTTTTGGGAAGCGTGTAGTCACTCTCAAGCAACTGCTTTTGCTTACTGCTTCTCCAGAAGGTGGAACATCACTAGGAAGAAAATAAAGGCAGTTTTTTAATAAATTATATGCAAATTATTCTATCATCATTTTGAACATGAAAAAAGCAGATGTTATGACTGCCTGGCACATCACTGAGAAGTACAGCACACATCTTCAGCTACACAGAACTAAATTCTTTCTACAGGTATCTCAACTTCAATTTACAAATGGGCTCTTTCAGTAATGAGAACTAGTAGAACTTCCAATTCTTTACGGAAGGTTGCAAATTACAAGATAAAGCATTGAGCTGCAGTTCGGAAATGGTGGAATAAGCATTTTGAAGTGATAGAAGTACAAGCACAATAGACATAAGCTTGGATGATACTCTACTTAACAATCCTCTAATTGTGGATGGATGTATCATTATGCGATGAAGAACATTAGCAATACATCCCTGTTGGGAATTCCTGCATCTCTTCTGACCCACAACAGACTACAGCCTTACATGAATGAGCCTTTTTGAAAAGACTCTGAGAAATACATTAAGCTCAAGAACAAACAGTAACATAAAATTCAAGCTTACCTAGGTGATATTCAGAGGCTATACGCTCCTCGGAAAACTACAGTATAAAGGGATAGCATTGTACTTTTGCCATTCTCTTAGAAGACTTCAGATGGTTTTTAATTACGCTGCTTACATACAGACTAATACATAAATTTTGCATTTTGTAAGTCATCTAGGCCGTAAAATTACACAGCATACAAAGTCAAGTTTATTTTTATAATTTTTTAAAATTAAAAGTTACTTATTTTCAGATTGAGTTAATAAGTCCAAAAGGGAGGAACTAATCTTCTGCAGTTCTTGCCATTTTAAATAAATACAGATCTTTTAAAAAACAGATTACCCTGTGTTCCCTTTTCCTGCAGTGACTGTCCTCACAGTTCAGACAACCCTGAAAAAGCCATAGGCATGCACAGACTCCACTCAAGCACTCTGTACCCCTCGTGGGAGAGATCATAGCAAGGCAAAAGACATTAACAAGGCCAAGGGTCAAGTGGAAATTTCACTTGCAAGAAGCAGAATACTTCCTTGAGATAAGAGCAGCTGTATCAGTGGTAGCAATTAGCTTTGGAACTACAATGCACACATTCAATGTTATTTACTTCAGTAATAACAATGTAATTCAGTACGGAAAAAAAATTGTCCAATTTAGATGATAACATTAACAGGAAAAAAAGAAGGATTTGTAATAGTAGTGTATTTCACTTCTGTAACTTTCCTTGCAGAATAGCCTAAAGTAATAGTTAAAATAGCAAGGTAGATGATTTTTCTGAATTAAAATTCACTATGTTCATGAAACAGAGTCTTCCTAGGCAACCAGAAAGTCATTGACATAAAAAAAAAAACGAATGAAGTAACTGTGGCATATATCCTCCTTCAATAACAAGGCTAACAATCTAGATCTTTAATTCTATATTTTCTCTTCAACAAAATCAAATCTCTAAAAATTTAGCATATGTTACTAATTTTTGGTTGCCAAGGCTAATAGGACTTCCAACCCCATGGTCCTGTGATACAGTATTTTGAAACTCAACACTACTTTCTAATTTGCTACAGAGAACTCTGATCATGTGAATTCAATTTCAGCTGTGCTCATTAACATTCTTTTAGTACACGAATATTATTATTCAGTGCTTTTATATTGTTTATAAAACTACTGCCATGCATTGTTTATTCTCTAGTGTTTGTAGTACAGCACAGAGTAGTTTCAGAGGGTTGGGTTTTTTTTAACATATGCATTTTGTAACATGTAGATGTATCCTTGATATTTAAGAGCTGCTATAACTGAATAATTTTTTTTCACCCAGTTTTCTCAAACTAAATTAGGTTAATTTACCAACAGGATGCTGCCAATAGCGTGTTAGCTTTGTCAGGTCAACAGAAGCTACTTCATGGCTGTACGGCAGTTTGTATTGCAGAAGAAAGCACAGTGTTACGTGCAATTTCTTTAAATTGGTGATGTACTTCTCTGAAAGGACATTTTAATACTCAAGCTCCTCCTGCTGGCATGTCCACAGAATTACATGGAAAATGACTTTTCCCCTCTGGAGAAAAAAATACCATTAAAACGAAAAGTGAAAAAGTGAAAAATAAGGTCCTCTAAAAGGATGAGATATTCATTTATACCAGTCTGTCTTGACAGGAATACTTGAGATAATAACATGCTTAGGATGAACACTGATGTGTGTAAAATAAAAAATTGCAAGTAATTCTTGCAACTTAAATGACAGTACTTTCGAAGTAAATTCATCAAATAGGAAATTACAGCTGATTTATCTTAAATGTATAAGCAATTTTTTTTTTTTTTTTTTTTTTTTTTTTTTTAAATCACCACAGTGGAAATTCCAAGACAAATCATTATGTCATGTAGATTTAAATAAAGCAGTTTATAACCAAGGAATTCGATCTCAATGCATCCAACACAGAAAGACAAACGGAAGCTTAAAATGAATTTCAGCTGTTATTGGCCTGAAACATTCTCATGGAAACAGAGGCTAGATGGTGAAAAAAGGTTTGGAGTATTAAAAAAAGTCATACGTTAGTAAATATACATCCTAAGCCCCTTCTCTTCCACACTACTCCAAAAACCAATGCAAGAACTTGCCATTTAATTATTGCTCATTTCAGCTCTAGCTTTTTACTTTGAAATTAAGATGCTGAATTTCAAATAACACCAGCAAGTTTAACTACTAAATTTGGGAAAAGAATGAACAACCACCCCCCCCGAACCCATGGCAATAAACTAGGAAGTAAGGACTACTCTTTCATTTCCATCCAATGTCAACGGATTTAACAATCTCTTTCTGGCCACAGGTCAAATAACCAAGTCTCTGGCACTACATGAGACACTTTTTCAAACCAATGGACTGATATTCTGTGAGCTCTTGGGAAGAAGTATGAGCACATTAAAACGCTCCTGCCAGTACTTCTGGCAAATACAAATGAAGATGAAATACTTGTTTTGAATTTATTTTTGCCAATCTGCATTTGGAATTGAGGAGGAAGGAATAAACGTACCTGTATGCAATTCTTTTTGTTCTGTTACCTTCTTAACCACTAAAGTCTTAACAGGGTTTAATTTTGTAGGCTGAGATTGGCAGTCGTGCCAGAACCTGTTCGCCATGCATGAACCTATTCAGCCATAGGATACTCAAGTACTGAAGGCTCAAGTTCTCTGCATTCTCACCTTGTCTCAGTCTGAAGAAAAAACGCAACCAGCTGAGAATCAATTCCTTCTTCCCACCAGGTCATTGTTTAGAATTTCAGCATTCCTGATTGATCTGCCTCGCATTTGCTTGCACACCAATCCTGTTGCATTGATTTTGTCTAGGTGTCAAGTTCTGCCTGAGGTGCATCTATAGAAAATAGCTTAAAATTACTGCCTTTTTAATCAGCTTCTAGTTTCTTCAGACCCTTTCATTAATGTCTTAACTCTACGTGCATCAAAATGTAAACCCAGCTTTCTGTGTTTTTCTTTACATACATAGCACATGGAACAGCAGTATTCTCTTAGATGGCATCACATAAATATATAAAGAAATGCATCTTCCGTCTCGTTTTCAACTCTTGAATAATGGTGGAGAGAGAAGTTTCTTATAAAAATAATATGCATGGAATTGGAATTACTTTTTACCAGTCTGAGATCAGAATAGAGTCTAGTAATAATAAACGCATCCTGGGAGCACAGTAAAGCTCAGGATCAAGCTGCTTATTCACATGGAAATACATCTCTGGAAACAGCAACAATTGTAGTAGTACCTGATGCACCTCATGAAGAATGGCATTAGCAGGCAGAAAAATCACTTAACTTTCTGTTGACAGTTTCTTGTGGGATTCATGTTTCTGTGCTCATACTATATCAAAGACATTTTTATTAATCAAACAAGAAATAATGCTGATCTGCCAGTACAACATATCTCAGCTCCTTCTGCCAATTACAATCAGCTGTAACATCTGTTCAGTGACTAAGATTGTGATTTAAAATAATTTTATATACTTTAGTAACACCTACTAATCTGGTTAATATTTTTTTCCAGTTGCTGAAGCATAACAAATTGGAGGCATGTTCTTGTCATTATTCCTGACTTCGCAGAAATTAAATTTAGCTCTGAATGAGAAACATGATCTACACTTATTAATATAAAAGACTGTGTTTGGAAGTTTAAATAGTCAGCTATTATCAGAAGAGATATAAAAACATGTATAAAATTGTTCCCCTACAACATGATATTGAAATTTCCGAAGATACCACTACAACAAAGATGTCAGGTTAAATACTGAACAACAGCTCCCTTAGAGTTTAGGTCTGGATTGACCAAGAAATTAAAAACATCAGTTCTAGTATTAGAAAGGAGCAAGATGATGGAGAATTTTTATCTTGGAGCAGTTTCATTTTGCAAGCAGCAGGAGAAAAGACTTCTTGTAAGATGCCTATACAGCACATGCCTATGGTTCCCCTTGGCAATGTTACGGTACATGGCCAAAGACCAACAGGCTATGCTGATACAACGAAAAGACTATTTATGCTCTTGATAGGTGATATAACAACTTGACTGCAGTAACAAAATCTATACATGAAGCATTTCTTCCTTTTAGACATACAGCTGCCCTGTGCCTTGAGAAACGTGGGCACAGGAAATTGCTGGAGTCATGGAATCACCAAGGTTAGCAAAGACCTACAAGATCATCCAGTCCAACATCCACCAATCACCAATAGTTCACTAATCCACATCCTTCAACACAATGTCTGAACATTCCTTGAACACCTCCAGGCTTAGTGACTCCACCACCACCTCCCTGGGCAGTCCATTCCAGTACCTGACCACTCTTTCAGAAAAGCAGTATTTCCTAATACCCAGCCTGAATCTCCCCTGGTGCAACTTGAGGCCATTCCCTCTTATCCTGCCACTATTTACACAGTAGAAAAGGCCGACCCCAAGCTCACTACAGCCTCCCTTCAGGTAGCTATAGAGAGTGATAAGGTCACC